TGCTGACAGGAACAGGGATGCTGAAAGGAACAGGGATGCTGAAAGGAACAGGGATGCTCCTGGGGACGGACACAGGCAATTCACTGCGGGGAGCCCAGCATCGAACTGGCTTTAGGTCGTGCTCTTATCGAAGGGGTGGTGGGAGACAGAGCCCTGTCCCCACGGTCACACAGCCCAGGGGCATGGGGACGGTGCTCCCTGTGCATGTGGCACCAGGGCCATGGCTACCACAGGATCCCAGCATGGGGTCGGTGGGAAGGGACCTCAAAGCTCCTCCAGCTCCAACCCCTGCCACGGGCAGGGACCCCTTCCACTGGAGCAGCTTGCTCCAAGCCCCTGTGTCCAACCTGGCCTTGAGCACTGCCAGGGATGAGAACAGCCCTGTGCCAAGCATCTGGAGCCTTCAGCCTTGCTCTGCATCCTCACTGTCCCAGCAGCCCGGGCGGGAGCAGCTCAGGATGGAGCAGACCCCCCTTGGCTGCAGCTCCCAGGCACGGACCAGGCCCCTCTGTCTCCCAGCAGAGATGGAGGAGACAGAACCCATCCCGCTCCAAAAGTGAGCAGGAAACACCCAGGGATGGCCCAGGAGCATCCGACCACGCTCCAGAACCCCGTGGGCAACGGCAGGGTCCACGCAACGGCCACAACCTCAACAGCAGCAGGCCCTGCCCCACTGCTCCCGGGGGGCCCAGAGGCAGGCGCAGAGCCAAGGCCGGCAGGGGATGTTCTCTGGTGAGCACCATCTGGCACCAGGGCAGCTCACAAGGCGCTTACCGGCTATTTTAACACGCCAAGAGCCGCCCTAAGCTCACAAATGAGGATTTCCCTGCTAATCACGGCGCTATTTTGGGGTGCCCTGAGGCTGCCACGCGCTGGTGCAGGGCAAGAGCTCAAAGGAGGGCACGGGGAGCTCACAAGCTCATTAAAGGCTGCAGAAGCTGCATCCTGAGGTGGCTCAGCCCGGTCCCCTGAGCAGGATGGAGCCATCCGACCCCATCTCCATGCATGGGGCTGGAGGAGCGGGGCAGCAGCACCGCGCTCAGGAGCAGCTCTCCCCATCGCCCCACAGAGCCCCGGCTGCAGGCTGGAGCCCCACAGGCGGGCAGGGACCTCGGAGCGGAGCAGGGATGGAGCTGGGCGCCAGGGAGAGCTGCTCCCGGTGCTGCTGCATCGCTCCTCAGCTGGGCCCTTCCCATGGGCAAGTGCTGGGATCACATCCCCAGCCAGGACTCCACATGGTTGGAACAAAGGCACGTCCAGGATGGCACCAGGATGCAGCAGGTACCATGAACAAAGGCACGTCCAGGATGGCACCAGGATGCAGCAGGTACCGTGAACAAAGGCACGTCCAGGATGGCACCAGGATGCAGCAGGTACCGTGAACAAAGGCACGTCCAGGATGGCACCAGGATGCAGCAGGTACCATGAACAAAGGCACATCCGGGATGGCACCAGGATGCAGCAGGTACCGTGAACAAAGGCACATCCAGGATGGCACCAGGATGCAGCAGGTACCATGAACAAAGGCACATCCGGGATGGCACCAGGATGCAGCAGGTACCGTGAACAAAGGCACATCCAGGATGGCACCAGGATGCAGCAGGTACCGTGAACAAAGGCACATCCGGTATGGCACCAGGATGCAGCAGGTACCGTGAACAAAGGCACATCCAGGATGGCACCAGGATGCAGCAGGTACCGTGAACAAAGGCACATCCAGGATGGCACCAGGATGCAGCAGGTACCATGGACAAAGGCACGTCCAGGATGGCACCAGGATGCAGCAGGTACCGTGAACAAAGGCACATCCAGGATGGCACCAGGATGCAGCAGGTACCGTGAACAAAGGCACATCCGGGATGGCACCAGGATGCAGCAGGTACCACATCGCGCCCTCGGCCGGGGTTTGCTCCTCTCCTCTCTCAGAGCATTCCCACACCAAGAGCCAAAGATGGGGATGAGGAACCCCTGCCGAGCCCCCTGCACCTTTCGTTCGTGTTGGTACTAAGGGGCAGGAAAGCTCTGGGGCTGGGGAAGTGCCATGGACAGGGCGGCTGGGGGGGAGCTGCAGCCCAAGGTGAGGACAGGACCCACGTTCAAACCAACCTGGGCCTTGCCTCCGAGCCCCAGAGCCCATTTCTGGGCAGCGCAGAAGCTGCTCCCAGCTCCTGGGGCTTGGTCTTTACCCCAAGGGTTGAACCATTGCTCACCCACGGGGTAACAGTGCTCCTGAGAGCCATCAAATCCACCAGGGTTGGAAGGAGCTTCAGGATCATCCAGTCCAACCCTTCCCAGCACTGCCAAGGCCACCACTGCCCCATGGCACTGAGGCCTCGGCTCCACAGGGTGTGAACACTTGGAGGGCCGGTGACCGCAGCCCTGCCCTGGGCAGCCTGTTCCAATGCCTGAGCACCCTCTGGGGCAGGAATTGTTCCTCAGCTCCATCTAAACCTGCCCTGGTGCAGCTTGAGGCCGGTTCCTCTTGTCCCATCCCTTGTTCCTTGGGAGCAGAGCCCAGCCCCTCCTGGCTCCATCCTCCTGTCAGGCACTTGTAGGGAGCCATCAGGTCCCCCCTGAGCCTTCTCTTCTCCACACTGAACCCCCCAGGTCCCTCAGCCCTTCCCCATCACCCCTGTGCTCCAGGCCCTGCACCAGCCCCGCTCCACCCCTCAATGTCTCTCTTGCAGTGATGGGCCCAGCGCTGAGCACAGGATCCGGGGTGCCCAGCACAGCAGAGCCCCGCAGGGCTCAGGGCTGGGTGATGGAAGCTTCCCCCCGGCTCCCCCCGCTCCCACCCACCACAGCCCCCCCCCCGCAGGCAGTGCATGCAGCGGGCAGCATGCAGCGGGGCGGTGCAATGGGACGCAGCGGTGGCTGCATGCAGCCGGGCAGGCAGGGATGCGATGCGCGCACGGACACCACCTTTTTGGGTTTCACTCCGCGCTGCGTGAGGAGGGAACAAAAGGCACAAGGTTAGAGCCGAGCCGCATCGCAGCGGGGGGGGCACCTGCCCCAGCGCCAGCCCCAGCTCCCCACGGCGGGGAGAGCCCCAGAGGAGGCACCGGGCTCCCTGCGGGAAGGAATCCACCCGGGAGAACCCCACACACCCCTAAGGCGGCTGAACGGGGAGGGCAGGAGATGGCGCTCACCCTGAACCCCCCCATCCATCACCTTTGCTCCAGCACCATTGACCCACCTCCCGCGGGATCTTTGCTGGCGCTGGATACATCCATAGGAAAACAGATTCCCCCAACAGATCCCCTCCATCAGCACTTGCAGGGAGGGTTAAACACGGGAGCTCAGCCACACCTGGACCCTGGGGAGGGGGATCCCCCAAACCAGCTCTCCAACACCGCCTGTACCTGCACCCACCGCCTTGGGTCAGGCACTCCAAAGGGAAGAGGAGGCTGCATCCAGCCGGGATGCTTCACATCACACATGGAACCACATCTGCCCCCCTTCCCTCGGGCCCTGCAGGAGCTGGGCACACACAGCCAGCACCTGCCTGGACCGGGATGCTCATTCTGGCCTCACTTCCCGTACACCAAGCCAAGCGGGATGCCCCAGAGCATCAGAGCACTTCACACAGCAGCATCTCCAGCCCAGAACAGCATCAGGGAGCTCCATCTACCAAAACATCCCACCCCAGCAGTGGCCAGCACCAAACTCCCAACCTCTTACACTGGAAACCATGGTAACTGTGGTTAACGGAGGTAACTGGTAACAGGGAACCGATAACTGATGCTGACAGACTGGAGGTACCACTGGCTCTTTCAGCTGGGCTTCCTCAGGCCTTGCACACACAAACCCCTTTGGTTCATCTCCTCTCCTACGTCCTTCTGCCAGTGGGAGCAGCAGGATTCCTTCCAGCTCTCGGTGATCCCTCCTGCAGCCCTGACCCCGGGGCAGGGACCCCGGCAGCGCCACAGACCCGCAGTGGGAAAGGCCCCTCTCCAAGTCACATCCCACCGGCAGCAAAAGGCACTCCCGGGATCCTCCACACCCCGGTAGGACAAGGAGGGAGCTTCCTCCCCACCCTGGCCTGGATGAGGCTCCCGACCTGCTCCTGGGGGCAACACGCGGCTCCCACCCCACAGGCACGCTCACCACCGCCATTCCCAGCCTCCGGAGCACGGCCTTCCCTGGCCTGACCTCCAGCACCTCCATCCGCGCCTGCCTGGGGCCAAGGCGGCTCGGGCAGGGACCTGCTCCCTTTGGGATGCAGCCACCCCCTCCGGACACAACGTGCACCGGGTTGTGCCCCGGGGATCCCCGCACCCAGACCCGCACCGTGCACCTCCAGGGAGAGCCCCCGTCCCGTCCCGTCCCGTTCCATCCCGCGGTGCATGCAGGATGTCAGGCTCATTCCCCACAGGAGCCGGGACTGAACCAGATAAAGCGGCCATACAGGAAGCTGTTGGGGTTATTCCTCAGGCACCGGTTCCTGTCAGGAGCTGGAAAGTGCCATTTCCAGGCCCTTGCTCCTGGGGGGTTGGAGGAAAAGCGCTTTTCCAGGTTTTATTATGGAGCACTGAGCGGGAAAGGGCTTAACCAGGACTGGGGCTGGCAGACACCATCCCCTGGGCACACGGTGAGCGCCCGTGTGTGCAGTGCTCCTGTGCAGGGCTGAGCTGCAGGGAGGGACCCCACTGACAGCACTGACCCTAGGGACACCAGGGACACCAGTGACCCCAGTGACCCCAAGGACACCAGTGACACCAGTGACACCAGTGACAACAGTGACACCAGTGACCCCAAGGACACCAGTGACACCAGTGACACCAGTGACAACAGTGACACCAGTGACCCCACTGACTCCAGTGACCCCACTGACTCCAGTGAGACCACTGACACCAGTGACCCCAGTGACACCAGTGACCACAGTGACACCAGTGACCACAGTGACACCAGTGACCCCACTGTCCCCACTGACACCAGTGAGCGGTGCCCTGCCCAGCCACGACCCCAGCTCCTCCCAGCCACACGGGCTCAGCACTCACCAGTTTGCTGCCTTTGGTGGCGTCCATGGAGTCTGCAAAGAGGAACAGAGGCAGCACCGTCACGCCCGGCTCCAGCACCCCATGACAGGAGCATGGAGGGGGCTCCCAGGGAGGGGGGAAGCAGAGGCTGGGACAGAGCTGGGAGCAGGGCACGAGGGAGATCATGGAACCCCAGCCTGGTTTGGGTGAAGGGACCTCAAAGCTCCTCCAGCTCCAACCCCAACCCCTTCCACTGGAGCAGCTTGCTCCAAGCCCTGTGTCCAACCTGGCCTTGAGCACTGCCAGGGATGGGGCAGCCACAGCTTCTCTGGGCACCCTGTGCCAGCGCCTCAGCACCCTCACAGGGAAGAGCTTCTGCCTCAGAGCTCATCTCAGTCTCCCCTCGGGCAGGTTCAAGCCATTCCCCTTGGCCTGGCCCTACAGGCCCTTGTCCCAAGCCCCTCTCCAGGTTTCCTGCAGCCCCTTCAGGCCCTGGAGCTGCTCTGAGGGCTCCATGGAGGCAGAGGCACGGGGTCACGCAGAGCTCCCAGCCCCACGGCCTAGCTCTGAGCACCCCAGCAGCAAAGAGCCACAGCCGCCTCCACCGCAGCACCCGCAGCAGCACCCACTGACATCACCTGCAGCCGTTGCCATGGGAACCCTGGTGAGGAGCCACATCCCAGCACCTGCATCCCTACACCCACATCCCTACACCCACATCCCTACACCCACATCCCTACACCCACATCCCAACACCCGCATCCCTACACCCACATGCCTACACCCGCATCCCTACACCCGCATCCCTACACCCGCATCCCTACACCCGCATCCCTACACCCGCATCCCTACACCCGCATCCCTACACCCGCATCCCAGCACCTGCATCCCTACACCCACATCCCTACACCCGCATCCCTACACCCGCATCCTTACACCCGCATCCTTACACCCGCATCCCTACACCCGCATCCTTACACCCGCATCCCTACACCTGCATCCTTACATCCGCATCCCTACACCCGCATCCTTACACCCGCATCCTTACACCCACATCCCTACACCCGCATCCCTACACCTGCATCCTTACACCCGCGTCCCCACACCCGCGTCCCTACACCCGTGTCCCCACACCCACGTCCCCACACCTGCATCCTTACACCCGCGTCCCTACACCCACATCCCTACACCCGCATCCTTACACCCACATCCCTACACCCACATCCTTACACCCGCATCCCTACACCCGCATCCTTACACCCACATCCCTACACCCGCATCCTTACACCCGCATCCCTACACCCGCATCCCTACACCCGCATCCCTACACCCGCATCCTTACACCCACATCCCTACACCTGCAGCCCAGCCCAGCCCAGCCCCAGCCCCCAGTGGTTCGCCCATCCCGGAGGGACCGGAGCTCACGCTTGTGTCCCCCAGGAGCAGAGGGGCAGAACCCCCTCCCTGACCTGCTCATGCTCTGGGTTGCAGCCCAGCACACGCAGTTCAGGGTTTTCCTCATGTTCCTGTGCATTTCCTGCACCCACAGGATCTTCCCATGGCTCAGCTCATGCCCGTTGCTCTTGTCCCATCGCCTGGGCTGATCCCTCAGATCCCCCTGAGCTGCCTCCTCTTTGGGGGCTGGAAGGAGATGACCTAAAGGTCCCTTCCAACCCCCCCACCCCATGGCTCTCCAGGCCCCGCTCCCCCAGGCCCTCCTCACAGGAGATGCTCCAGGCCCTTCGTCCCATGTCTCTTGTCCCGGGGAGCCCAGACCTGGACATAGGGCTCCATGGGGAGGCCCCACCGGGGCTGGGCAGAGGCAGGATCACCCCTTCCCTGTGGAATGACCTCCCCAGGGAAGTGGTGACTCCCCAGTGTCGGACTCTGTTAAGACTGGGCCAGGTTGGACACAGGGGCTTGGAGCAAGCTGCTCCAGTGGAAGGGGTCCCTGCCCGGGGCAGGGGTTGGGGCTGGAGGAGCTTTGAGGTCCCTTCCAACCCAAACCAGTCCAGGATTCATTTGAGGAATTGTAAAGCAGAAAACGGAGCGTTCAGCTGGGAATTCTGGATTGAGGAGACTGGAACACCCCAGGAACACTGTGGGATGTTCCCCTGCCGCAGCTCCCCCAGGACAAGGTGAAGGCCGGACACCAGGACACGGTGCCAAGCCTCATTCCCATTCCAGTCATGGGATGGATAGAGCCAACATCCCCCACAGGAGCCCCCAGCCTGGCACCCGGGGCCGGAGGCTGCCATGGGCAGGAAGCTGGCCTGGATCCATGCTCCCGGGATCCTGAGCGTGCTGCTGAGTGACTGCTCCACAAAGCGGAGCCCAACGGGAGGCAGAGCTCTCAGAGCAGCTCAGAGCCAGGAACGGGCTGCCCGGCAATGGGAAAGGGAAGGAAGGCTCCACATGGTCGGGGCCAAGGAGGTGGAATGAGGCACAGCCTGAGCGGGGATTTCACAGCATGACAGTAAATCAGCTCTTCCTCCCACAGCCTTGGAACAGCCCGAGTCCTCCTTCCACACAGCCATGCCTGCGGGCAGGAGCTCCCACCCCTCTGGGCTGGATGCCCCGTCCCTCCAGGAAGGATCTCCCACCCCATTCCCACCAGGCAGACTTTCATGGTAAGCACGCACCAGCCCAGAGCAACGCTTGCACACGGTGCTTCCCTCTGGGATCCCAAAGGCCACCCGGGACCGTGCAGGGAGCACCCTGGGAGAGGTGGATGAGCAAGGGGGGAGCTGAGGCAGGGCCAGAGCTGCAGCCAGTGCCCACCCCCAGTGCGTGGACCCCGGTGGGTGCTGGTGCTGGAGCAGGGGAGGGATGGGGCTGGGGCACACAGAGCTCCTGTACCTCTCTTGGGGACCTTCAGGGCAGCAGATTCCGGGGTCTCTGGGGAGGTTGTGTCAGCTCCATCTTCAAACACCTGGATCTGGGGAAGGACAACAACAGTTATTGCACAGGAACGGGGTAAGGGCGCTGGCACAGGGTGCCCAGAGAAGCTGTGGCTGCCCCATCCCTGGCAGTGCTCAAGGCCAGGTTGGACACAGGGCTTGGAGCAAGCTGCTCTAGTGGAAGGGGTCTCTGCCTGTGGCTGGGGTTGGAGCTGGAGGAGCTTTAAGGACCCTTCCACCCAAACCAGGCTGCGGTTCTGTGGCTGTTCCAGCTCTTGTGGCTCCCCACATCCCCCTGACCAAGGCAGGACACCGGGCACCGCTCAGCCCGGTGCTATGGAGCAGACCCAGCACACAGGCTCCATCCTTCCCCAGGCCACAGCACCCAGCCCCGGGAGGGACCTGCTGGGGACTGCACGGAACAGCACAGCCACCACCCAAAACCTCGGCAGCTTCCCCACGGCTGCAGCTCATTTACCAGTGACCGGAGGGCTCCGAGCCCACGGGAAGCCACCGGGTGCCGGGAGCCCCAGAGAGGGAGGAGGAGGGAGCTGTGGCCGGATCTACAGCAGGAACTGCAGGAAGGGGACCCCTGAACCCCCAGCACCACCTGTGCCCCGGGCACCGGTCCTGAGCGAGGGAGATGGAGCTTGTCCTGGATGGGCAGAGCTGAATGAGCTGGGTCATGGGAGCCTGGAATGGGTTGGGTTGGAAGGGACCTCAAAGCTCCTCCAGCCCCATCCCCTGCCACGGGCAGGGACCCCTTCCACTGGAGCAGCTTGCTCCAAGCCCCTGTGTCCAACCTGGCCTTGAGCACTGCCAGGGATGGAGCAGCCACAGCTTCAACCCCTTCCCATGTCCCACCACCCTCATAGGGGAGAACTTCCTTGTATCCCACCCAGCTCTTCCCTCTTCCAGCCGGAAGCCCAAATTCCTCATCCCATCCCTGCATCCCTTGTCCCAAGCCCCTCTCCAGCTTTCCTGCAGCCCCTTCAGACACTGGAGCTGCTCTAAGGTCTCCCCTCCAGGAGCCTTCTCTTCTCCAGGCTGCCCCAGCCCAGCTCTCTCAGCCTGGCTCACAGCAGAGCTGCTCCAGCCCCCACAGCAGCTCCTGATCCTCCACTTTGGAGACAAAATAAAAGCATTCCCTCTCTCTGGAACTCAGGAACCTTTCCTCACCGAACTCACCCGCACCCGCGTCAGGACAGGCCCTTACATCAGGCTCAACAAGACACCGAGTGCGAGGATCCCTCACACGACGGAGCCTGGAGAGCCCAGAGCCATCGCGGTCTGCCTGGGGCTGAAGGAACCCTGGCTCTTCCCCCGCTCCCCAGGTGCCCAGGGCCCTTTTCCTGGTGGATGAGGAGCGGGGAGCAGCGCCCGGCAGGGCCGTACCTGGGACTGGCGCACGAAGATGCCGTGGTTCTCGTCGCAGGTGAAGTACCTCCTGCCCTGCACCGTGCCGTCGTTCTTGCCCTTCGCCTCGTCCAGGATCACCCCCACCCACTTGCCGGTGGCGAAGAGCGTGGCGCCCACGTAGGCCACGGTGCCGCGGTGCCCCTTGCCGATGACCTCCACGCGGGAGCCCACCTTGAGGGGCCGGCTGCTGCCCTCGGCACTCATCCTGCCGCCGGAGCTGGGGGCCTGCGGGCAGAGCACAGCGTTACACACACACACACACACACACACACAGCTCCAGCAGCAGTCAGGGAAAGGCAATTCCTTCCCTTCCCGCTGCCAAACAGGAAGCAGGACAATGGCAAAGCCCCACTGAGCCCCGCGCCGCTGGCAATGGACACCCCAGGCTCCCGAAGCCCATTCCTGAGGGTTATCGGCTCTGGGACATCAAACCCAGCAGCAGGCACCAGCGCAGCCCCATCTGCCCTCAGCAGCGCTTGCTCCCTCTCTTTTCCTTCCATCGGACACTGCTGGAGCTTTCCAGCCTCCTGGAACACCAGCTCGGGAAGGCGCAGCCCACCCCGGGCACAACTTCCCAACCACTTCCCGGTGTCAGGGGTCCTGAGGCTCTGGGGGCCCATCCAGCCACGGAGCTGGACCAGTGCCCGGCCCGGCTGCATCGCGGGCACCAGTCCCCAGTGGGATGCATGGGGTTCAGGCTGTCCCGGCACGGAGCTGGATCAGCTGCATCATGGAACCATGGAATGGGTTGGGGTTGGAGGGGGCCTTAAAGCGCCTCCAGCCCCAACCCCTGCCACGGGCAGGGACCCCTTCCACTGGAGCAGCTTGCTCCAAGCCCCTGTGTCCAGCCTGGCCTTGAGCACTGCCAGGGATGGGGCAGCCACAGCTTCTCTGGGCACCCTGTGCCAGCGCCTCAGCACCCTCCCAGGGAAGAGCTTCTGCCTCAGAGCTCATCTGCACCTCCCCTCTGGCAGAGCTCTGGGCAGGGGACAGGTCCTGGGCGCCGGTGCTGAGCTCAGAGCTGCAGGGGTGACCCCTGCATCCCTGCATCCCTGCGCTCCCACCCCTCAGGGCTCCTCCCTCATGCAAGGAGCTGAAGCCTCAAAGCGTCGCTCAAGCACACATCAAAGTTGCAGCCGTGCCCCAGCACAGCAACAACCCGGGAGCAGCTCCGGGATGAGATTCCCACCGCAGCTCCCAACCCCAGCCAGGCCCCGGAAGAGCTCTGCTCCCTGTTAACCTTCCTCAGAGGCCTGGGAAGAGCTCTGCTCCCTGTTAACCCTTGTTATTGAGAGCGCGGGGCGCTGCCACGGCCCTGGAAGGTGACCAGGGGTCACCAACCCGGAGAGGGGCTTTGGCCAAGGGATGCAGGGACAGGACGATGGGAATGGGTTCAGCCTGCCAGAGGGGAGGCTCGGGCTCCCTGACTCCTGTGCTCCCAGAGCACCAAATCTGCTCAGGCTTCCCCAGGATAAAGCCCCCAGCATGGCGCTGGCTTCATCCTGCTCAAGGCCGGAGAGCAAGGACTCAAACAGGGGTGGTTTGGGTGTCTCTGGACACCCCAGCACCAGGCACAGCACCGAGCACGCACCCCAGACCCCTGTCACGGACACCCCAGCCCAGCCTTGCTCCCCACAGCACTGATCTCAAAGTGCATTGGCTCTGAGCTCAGCCCCTCACATCCTGCCCCAGATCCCACCCCAGGACCAGGACAGAGCCAGCAGGGCTCAGCTGGACACATCACCCCCCCACCCCACTGCCCCCAGCACCAGTGTGAGCAGTGCCACATCCCACAGCATCCCTGCGCTGGGAACACATCCCTGCGCTGGGAACCACATCCCTGCGCTGGGAACACATCCCTGCACTGGGAACACATCCCTGCACTGGGAACCACATCCCTGCACTGGGAACCACATCCCTGCACTGGGAACACATCCCTGCACTGGGAACCACATCCCTGCACTGGGAACCACATCCCTGCACTGGGAACACATCCCCGCCCTGGGAACACATCCCCGCCCTGGGAACACATCCCTGCACTGGGAACCACATCCCTGCACTGGGAACCACATCCCTGCGCTGGGAACCACATCCCTGCACTGGGAACACATCCCCGCACTGGGAACACATCCCCGCACTGGGAACACATCCCCGCCCTGGGAACACATCCCCGCACTGGGAACACATCCCTGCGCTGGGAACACATCCCTGCGCTGGGAACACATCCCTGCACTGGGAACACATCCCTGCACTGGGAACCACATCCCCGCGCTGGGAACCACATCCCTGCGCTGGGAACCACATCCCCGCACTGGGAACCACATCCCTGCACTGGGAACCACATCCCTGCACTGGGAACCACATCCCCGCACTGGGAACCACATCCCCGCACTGGGAACCACATCCCCGCACTGGGAACCACATCCCTGCACTGGGAACACATCCCTGCACTGGAAAACACATCCCTGCACTGGGAACCACATCCCTGCACTGGGAACCACATCCCCGCACTGGGAACCACATCCCCGCACTGGGAACCACATCCCTGCACTGGGAACACATCCCCGCACTGGGAACACATCCCTGCACTGGGAACCACATCCCCGCACTGGGAACCACATCCCCGCACTGGGAACCACATCCCCGCACTGGGAACCACATCCCTGCACTGGGAACACATCCCTGCACTGGAAAACACATCCCTGCACTGGGAACCACATCCCTGCACTGGGAACCACATCCCCGCACTGGGAACCACATCCCCGCACTGGGAACACATCCCTGCACTGGGAACCACATCCCTGCGCTGGGAACCACATCCCTGCACTGGGAACCACATCCCCGCACTGGGAACCACATCCCTGCACTGGGAACCACATCCCTGCACTGGGAACCACATCCCCGCACTGGGAACCACATCCCCGCACTGGGAACCACATCCCCGCACTGGGAACCACATCCCTGCACTGGGAACCACATCCCTGCACTGGGAACACATCCCTGCACTGGAAAACACATCCCTGCACTGGGAACCACATCCCTGCACTGGGAACCACATCCCCGCACTGGGAACACATCCCTGCACTGGGAACCACATCCCTGCACTGGAAACCACATCCCTGCACTGGGAACCACATCCCTGCACTGGGAACCACATCCCCGCACTGGGAACACATCCCTGCACTGGAAAACACATCCCTGCACTGGGAACCACATCCCTGCACTGGGAACCACATCCCCGCACTGGGACAAACATCCCTGTGCTGGGAACACATCCCTGCACTGGGAACCACATCACTGCACTGGGAACCACATCCCTGCACTGGGAATCACATTCCTGCGCTGAGAACCACATCCCTGCACTGGGAACCACATCCCCGCGCTGGGAACCACATCCCCGCACTGGGAACCACATCCCCGCACTGGGAACACATCCCTGCACTGGGAACCACATCCCCGCACTGGGAACACATCCCTGCACTGGGAACCACATCCCCGCACTGGGAACACATCCCCGCACTGGGAACCACATCCCCGCACTGGGAACACATCCCTGCACTGGGAACCACATCCCCGCACTGGGAACACATCCCTGCACTGGGAACACATCCCCGCACTGGGAACCACATCCCCGCACTGGGAACCACATCCCCGCACTGGGAACACATCCCCGCACTGGGAACCACATCCCTGCGCTGGGAACCACATCCCCGCACTGGGACAAACATCCCTGTGCTGGGAACACATCCCTGCACTGGGAACCACATCACTGCACTGGGAACCACATCCCTGCACTGGGAATCACATTCCTGCGCTGAGAACCACATCCCTGCACTGGGAACCACATCCCCGCGCTGGGAACCACATCCCCGCACTGGGAACCACATCCCTGCACTGGGAACACATCGCTGCACTGGGAACACATCCCTGCACTGGGAACACATCCCTGCACTGGGAACCACATCCCCGCACTGGGAACCACATCCCCGCACTGGGAACACATCCCCGCACTGGGAACCACATCCCCGCACTGGGAACCACATCCCCGCACTGGGAACCACATCCCCGCACTGGGAACACATCCCCGCACTGGGAACACATCCCCGCACTGGGAACCACATCCCCGCACTGGGAACCACATCCCCGCACTGGGAACCACATCCCTGCACTGGGAACACATCCCTGCGCTCGGAACCACATCCCCGCACTGGGAACCACATCCCTGCACTGGGAACCACATCCCCGCACTGGGAACCACATCCCCGCACTGGGAACACATCCCCGCACTGGGAACCACATCCCCGCACTGGGAACCACATCCCCGCACTGGGAACACATCCCCGCACTGGGAACCACATCCCTGCACTGGGAACACATCCCTGCACTGGAAAACACATCCCTGCACTGGAAAACACATCCCTGCACTGGAAAACACATCCCTGCACTGGGAACCACATCCCCGCACTGGGAACCACATCCCTGCACTGGGAACACATCCCTGCACTGGGAACCACATCCCCGCACTGGGAACCACATCCCTGCGCTGGGAACACATCCCTGCACTGGGAACCACATCCCCGCACTGGGAACACATCCCCGCACTGGGAACACATCCCTGCGCTGGGAACCACATCCCCGCACTGGGAACACATCCCCGCACTGGGAACCACATCCCCGCACTGGGAACACATCCCCGCACTGGGAACCACATCCCCGCACTGGGAACCACATCCCCGCACTGGGAACACATCCCCGCACTGGGAACACATCCCTGCACTGGGAACCACATCCCTGCACTGGGAACACATCCCTGCACTGGGAACACATCCCCGCACTGGGAACACATCCCTGCGCTCGGAACCACATCCCTGCACTGGGAACACATCCCTGCGCTCGGAACCACATCCCTGCACTGGGAACACATCCCCGCACTGGGAACACATCCCTGCACTGGGAACACATCCCCGCACTGGGAACACATCCCCGCACTGGGAACACATCGCTGCACTGGGAACACTGGAACACGCCAGGATCCTGCACAGGAACGCGCTGGGACCCCCACGGAACACAGCAGGACCTGCATGGGGAGGGAAAAGGAGCTCCCCGGGCACGCACTCGCTCTGGGCCGCCCTGGGCCCCCTCTGCTCCCTGCAGTGCCCACGGCAGAGCCCAGAGCCCCCATCCCAGCACATTCCCAGCTCCGTGCCCTGCCCCAGGCACCGGTCCCCGTGAGGGCTGTGCTGGGGTTGGGATGGGGCCTGAGCTCGGCTGCAGCCCATGGGGTACTCGGCCAAGCGGAACGGGGCCTCTGTCCGGTCCCAAACACAGGGAGTGGGGACCCAGCATCACTGCAGGAGGGACACGAGGACACAGGAGAGGCAGTGCCCGGGCTGAGGCTGCCCCGGCCCATGGTAAAGCCTGGAATCGCTTCGGGAGGCCCCTGGGAAGCTCCGCACCGGCTCAGGCAGCCGGGAGCCGGGCAGGGAGGAAGGGAAAAGCCAGGATGCGGGAAGGGAAAGCAGCCCCTGTCTCTGTGCTGGGATCACTGCGGGGCCTCGCTGCGCAGCCGGGCTCGCCCAGCACAGCCCAACTTCAGCCCAGGGCACACGGCCTGGTGCAGGGCAGACCTCACCCGGCCCTGCCCATCGGAACGGGCACTGCCAGGGAGGAACAGCTCAATTCCCAGGCGCAGGAAGGCCGGGAAGCGCCCTCCAGCCCCCAGCACCACCCCCGGTACCTGCCAGTGCCCCGCTAGCAGCAGCACAGGCAGGAGCTGGAGGCGAGCTTCCCCCCCGGCTCACCCGGCTGTACGCGTGCCTCCTGCCCTGGGCCATGCTGCCGCTGCCTCCTCTGCCTGGAGGATAACGGGGCCGGAGGGAACGGCCTCACTTCATGGGGCTCCAGCGGCGGTTTCCCACGTCCCAGCCGATCCCAGCATCCCGCCGAGCCCCGGCTGGGCGCGGGGAAGGGGGAAAAGCCCGTTTCCCAGAGGATGCTTTAAGGATGCGCCGGGATCCAGCGCAGCCGACGGCAGGATGGATGGATGGAGGAGCCGCTGCGGTAGAGCCGCCGCACGGAGCCCGCTGGGTCCTAACGCCGCCCCGCTGCTGCAGGGGGGATGGCACCGGGCCACGCCGCCGCACCGGGAAGGACAGAGCCGCCTCCGGCCTGCCCTGTGCGGGCGGCACCCGGGGCTGTGCACAGGGGACACCCCGCTCCCCCCACCCCGGGCACCACCCCGGCCATGGCTGTGCTGGCTCTGCGCTCCCATGGGCCCAGCTTTGCCCCTCAGCCCCATCGCGCTCCTCCAGCCCCACAAACCGGGGTGACCGGGCACCGGGACACAGGGGCTGCACCCAGCACGTACCCCCCCCACCCCGCACCATGGCACGGGTCAGGATGTGCAGGCGATGGGAGGCACGGGGCTGACATGGTTAACGCGGGGATTTCACACCATCAATCGATGATTGTCCCTTCCCCGGCGGTGTGAATGGCTGTGATTGAAGCCAGCAGCACCCTGCGAGCTGCCTGCAGTGAAACGGCTGCCTCAGAACGGCGAGGGGACGTGGGGATGCCAGGCACGCCAGGATGCTGCAGGCACCGGCACCCAGCACCCAGCTGTGCCCCCGGACACCGGCACACGTCCGGCAGCAAACCCAGAGCCACACCACGGAGCTCCGTGAGCGTGTGTGTGTGTCCTGTTGTAGCCCCTGAGGCAGTGACCACGGTGAAGGGGATGAACTACAAGGAGATAAAAAGGTGCAGAGGGTGCTGCTGCAGGCTGGGAATGGGGAAATCCCCCTGTCAAAGGCTGGCTCTTCCCACAGGGCCATAGGAATAAGAGGACACCCCAAAGCCAGGAAACCCCAGGGACACCCCAGGAGGAGCCTCCTCCAGCGCCACCAACCACAGCTCAGGGTGCATTCCCATTCAGAAGAACATGAGGCACTCGGGCTGGTTTCCCCTCCCAGAGCAATCCCGTTTTCAACCTGAAGCACAAGGGAAAGGAATTTCCCCACACACACACCCGAAGCATCCAGCTGCAGGATGTTCATGCCCTGGGGTTCCACCACCCAGCCAGGGACTTGTTACCCTTCCCAAGAGCCATGAGAATCCTGCAATCCACCAGGCTGGAACAGAGCATGGAGAGCACCAAGTCCAACCATTGCCCAGCACTGCAGAACCTGGGGATGCTTCACATCAAATCCTGTGCTTAACCCAAGAGGAACAAGTCTGTGGCAGTTTTAAGACCCACAAGGAGAAGGGGGAGAAGTTCAGGTCAATTAAAGCTGAATTAAGACATTAAGGAACATCCAGGCTGGCTCCAGCCATCAACTAGACTCTCCTCATCCATCCTCCCTCCGCAGCCGGAACACCGTGCTCAGCCCATGGAGGACACAGAGAGCCTCAGCTCCAGTGTCTGGGGAGCCCCAGAGCACAGCAGGGACACAAACCGCACAAGCTCCAACCCCCTGCATCGGCATTCCCTAATCCCATAGGACACAACGGCTGGAGCCCACGAACAGGACGTGCTGGGCCACCCCATCTACACCAGGCATTCCTCAGCAAACCATGGTTTAGACAAGATCCTCCCAAGGACAGCCCAAAGGACAGGCCAAGACAGTCCAAAAGTTGGAGCAGATGATCCTTGGGGTCCCTTCAACCTGGAACTCTGTAATCCCATGAGGAGCCTTTGACGAGGAGTCTGTGGATGAACATGGAAATCCCTGTCCTGGAGGATCCAACACCAGCACCCGCCAGGATGCACCACTTGAGCACCATTCACCACTCCCCATTTAGTACCTGCGCTATGGATGAAAATCCCCTTTTCCCTCCAAACTCCAGCACTCATTCCGGATGAGTGCTCTGCCAACCAAACCATCCCAGAGGAATCCATGCCCTGGTGCTTCCAGAGGCTGCTGCAGCTCCCAGGAGATACAAGACCCCAGAACACACCCAAGGGCCTGCTTCACCTTAGAGCTTTGAAGTAAGGTCATTGCTTTAATGTCCTTCACTGAATTTCATCTGGAAGTCACGGAAGCGCCAGCATTGCTGAGGCCCATGGCCTCACCTCTTCCCACCCGATCCCCACGTGGCTTTTACCCGGGAACAGCACATACCGTGGGAGCTGTGCGTGCCCAAATCCACCTGGGAGTGCTCTGGAGACCTCTGCGCAGCCGGGAGCCTCAGCTACAGCCCGGGCCGTGCTCTGGGCATCGGGGCTGGGACAATCCTCATCCAACCACCTGCAAAGAGGCACCAAGGGCTGAGATCCCCACGTGTGGGGGGTGAGGAACCATCGCCCCCCCCCAACCAGGGACACCCGATGGGGCTGTGCAGGAGCTGCCTGACTCCCAGTGCAACACCCGTCCCTATGGATAAACACCACCAAAGAGCCAAGGAACCATCAGGAACCTTCAGACTTGGTCCTGAAAGCTGCGATGGCTTTAACCTGCCAGAGGGGAGGCTGAGCTGAGCTCTGAGGCAGAAGCTCTTCCCTGGGAGGGTGCTGAGGCGCTGGCACAGGGTGCCCAGAGAAGCTGTGGCTGCCCCATCCCTGGCAGTGCTCAAGGCCAGGTTGGACACAGGGGCTTGGAGCAAGCTGCTCCAGTGGAAGGGGTCCCTGCCCGTGGCAGGGGGTGGAGCTGGACCAGCTTTAAGCTCCCTTCAACCCCAACCAGGCCGGGGCACGGCGATGCTGAGCTTGGCCCCAGCCCGGATCGCAGAGGCTGATCCCGGCGCTAGGACCCTGCGGGGTGAGCGCCCGGAGCCTGCGCCATGCGCGGCTGCAGCACCGGCTCCGCCGCAGCCGCTGCAGCAGCCACCGGGCAGCGCCGCCCGCCGGGATGTGCCGCGGAGCTCCCGCTGGGAATGCGCCGGAGCCACGGCGGAGCCACGGCAACGGCCCGGAGCCGGCAGTGCTGGAGGAGGTCAGTGCGGGGCGGCTCGAGCTCATCTCCATCAAACACCCCCCTTCCTGAGCCCTGTCCCAGCCACATGGGGGCATTCCCGGGGGGAGCTGATCCCAACACCCCGGTTTACGCTCCCAGATTTAGCGCAGCCAAACCCCTTTCCTTCCTGGGCTGGGATCCCCCGCTGGGCACTGCTGCGGGAACACAACCACCTCGGCTTCCCCTTGGGGGCTGCCTTCAGGAACTTCTCCCTTTGCTCACTCCCGCCCTGTGCCGTCCCAGGCTCCATAAACCACTTCATTAAACACAGCGGCATCCCCTGTGCTGCCGGGAGCTGCCGCAGTCGCTGTCACCGCTCTCCCTGCTCCTCTGCATCCATCAAACCATCCCAGAAGCAGCCACGTGGGAAGGAGCTTCAGGATCATCCAGTCCAACCGTTCCCAGCACTGCCAAGGCCACCACTGCCCCATGGCACTGAGGCCTCGGCTCCACGGGGTGGGAACACTTGGAGGGCCGGTGCCTGCAGCCCTGCCCTGGGCAGCCTGTTCCAATGCCTGAGCACCCTCTGGGGCAGGAATTGTTCCTCAGCTCCATCTAAACCTGCCCTGGGGCAGCTTGAGGCCGGTTCCTCTTGTCCCATCCCTTGTTCCTTGGGAGCAGAGCCCAGCCCCTCCTGGCTCCATCCTCCCGGCAGGCACTTGTAGGGAGGGACAAGGTCCCCCCTGAGCCTTCTCTTCTCCACTCAATCCATGAGCTACATTCAAACAAACTGGGAAGCTCCTTGGGAACAGGCACAACCCCCCCAGCACTCATGAGGGAGGCTGTGTGTGATGGACATAGCCGGAGCTCACCCATGAGATACCAACACCAGGAACCAGCAGAGCCGGGGTTTGTTGCATGGGAAGAGGTCTGGGAAGCGCAGAGGCTCCCAAGGACGGTGCAGCCTCCTCAGAGCCGCCGCCCCAGCTCAGGTTGTGCCCCTCACACTGCCCGGGGACATTCGACCCCTGCAGACACCAGAGCAAAGGGGGTGCTTGGGAAGCTCCAGGTTCGAACAAGGGCTCTGCTCTGCTCCTCACCTGTCCCCAAGGAGGTCTCAGAAGAGCCCTGCCCCATCCCCATGATGTGACAGGAGGCGGCTTCACGCTTCTCAGCCATCAACAGCCACAACACAGCGGGGTGAATTAACCAGGTATCCAAATCGGACATCAGGGAATCCCAGCCTGGCAGGGGTTGAAGGGGCCTTAAAGCTCCTCCAGCCCCAACCCCTGCCACGGGCAGGGACCCCTTCCTCTGGAGCAGCTTGCTCCAAGCCCCTGTGTCCAACCTGGCCTTGAGCACTGCCAGGGATGGGGCAGCCACAGCTCCTCTGGGCACCCTGTGCCAGCGCCTCAGCACCCTCACAGGGAAGATTCCTCCTCTTCTCCCACCCAACCCCACCCTCTCATCAATTCACACCCATCTCTGCATCAATTATCCAGAGGCCGAGTCACTCCCCCCCTTCTCCCGACCAAACCATTCCCAACCCAACACCCAACCGCTGCACGTGCGGTCGTGGTGCTTCCTAAATCCTGCTCCTCCCATCTCTTCGCTTCCAAGCGCATTTCGGCTGCACCTCTGCCTTACCCCAACACTGCACCGGCACAGCCCGGGGGGGGACGGACCCCAACCGAGGCCCCCAGCGGGGCGCAGGAGCCCCCATGGCAGCGCCGGTGACCGCGCTCCCTTCCCTCCGTGCAGGTGCCCCCCTGCCGGCCCCGCACGACGCCAGCGCCGATTCCCGCCGGGATTCCAGCACCGCCCCGAGGAGCACGGGGAATCACCGGGAGCACCCGAGCCGGGCGCGCCGCGAGCGGCTTTGTCTGCACAGAGCCCAATGGCGGCCCCCTGAGCACGGCGGCTGCCGCCCCGCAGGGGCCCCGCAGGCACCGGGACCCCGTCACCAACCCTCGGGCCACTCCCCACGGGGGCAGCCCCCCCAAAACGGGGCCCACCGGAGGATCCCCCCACCCTCACCCAGCCCCATGGCGGGACCGCTCCGCACCCAGCGCCGCCCCTGCCCTGGCCC